ATTTATGGTCAGCTCTAATTCAACATGACTGGTGTCCTTATAAAAAGAGGACATTTGGATACAGAGGCAGACATGCACAGAGGGAAGTAACTGCCATTTCCAAGCCAAGGAGAGAGGCTTAGAAGAAATCCTCATCTCACAGCCCTCAGAAAGAACCAGCCCTCCTGGGACCTTACTTTTGACTTCCAGCCTCCAGAACCACGAGACACAGTTCCGTTGTTTAAGCCCCTCAGCTCGTGGCCCTTTGTTACTGAAGCCCAGTGCGCTAACACACAAATAATCTCTTTAAAATGATGTGGAAAAAAACATATTTATATCATAGACATTTTAGGCTTTAGAAACAACTGTGTGGGGCCATTTATTAGGGATTCATTAAAATTAAGCTGTACTGAGATCAAACCCATAAGATAAGCACAAACAACTTACCTCAGTTCTGAGGAGTTGCTCTGCCTTGCTTCTATTTGTATTTCTGCAATACCATCTGAACAGAAAAAGATACACTTAAGGTCTCATATTATTTAAAATTATGTTTTTATTCTTAGTAGGATTAATTAGATAATAAAGCTCCCCAATAATAAATACAATAAGTAAAAACTAGGCAAGAGTCACTCATAATCTAAATAGACAACCAGTAACATATTGATGTATGTAGTTTCAGATATTTTTACCCATGTTTTTATGAAAACACACATCTATGCCTGCATTATTTTATTAAGGTGGGATCAAACTTTACTTGATACATCATAACATGAATTTGTCACATGACAGCTCATAGCAATATAGTTCTATAAATCTTGATATGGATGTACCATAATTTATTTAAGGTATTCATTATACAATATGAAAAATCGTCTGCAATTTTTTGCTGTTCCAGTCATAATGAGAATGAATTTTATTTCACTGATTCAAACTTGCAGACAATGTCAATTTACATTTTTGTCTTAAATTCAAATTAAATCTTATCCTAAGCTCCCGGCACACCAACATTGCAGATTCCATCCTAAGTCATTATGGTGGCTCTCGGTCAAATTTCATGAAGGTCTCAAGTGTCAACAGAAAAGAAGGAAAACCTAAGAGCAGGCCTTCTGGATTTTCCATACCTGCTGACTTCCAGAATCCTCAAGCCCTGGTGGTTGCCTGAGGCTGTACTAGAAAAATCCCTGTCTTGACCAAGTAGTCACTCCTGTCCTCCCACCAAGCCTAGCCACAACCCTGGGCCATGCCCCAAGGTCTTGCAGATCTATGCCCCTTCTTAACCTCGGAGAAACCTTTCTCTTTTTTTTTTTTTTTTTTTTTTAATTTATTT